GGGGCAGCGAGACAGAGAGAGGGGGGGAAAGGAATCGTGGAAATGATGGGAGAGACAGGCACAGCACCACCACCACCACCTGCACGCACCCATAGCGCGCGCGCACCAGCGAGTATAATATTCTTCCTCTCTCTCGGTCTCATGCTCGGGCTCGTGTCAATTTTTTCCACACTGACCCGCGCGCTGCCTCTGCTTTTCCATTCCCGGTCGCCGTCTCCATCGGCTCGGTACGGCAGAGACTAGAGACACGCACAAAGATTTCGGGTGACGCGCGCGGCCACCACCTTCCCACGAGACCGCGGGCGTGGACACGTACGTGCGTGCCGCACGGTGCACCAGCCCCAGCGCCGAACCCAACAGGCGGACGCGGCCCCGCGGACCACACGCGGCTCGGCGGGGCAGGCGGAAAGCCAGGGCCATGCGAGCTGCACGCCGCCGCCTGCTAATGATTTTCAGGGGCTTTGTTAGGCTAGGCGTTGAAACTTATAAAAAAAACTGATTAGTCATTAGTTAGTGGTTGGGGGAAGATTCGGCTTCTGTTGAATGCTGCCGAAACGATCAACTTATCCCACCGGAAAGTTTGGGAGTATTCATACTACTACCACGTACCGGAAGCGAGCCTTTGCTTAAGGTGCTTGATCACTTGCTTCCAGCGGAAGCACGGGACGCGAGAATGTCATTCTCTTCGGCCATATTTGGAGGGATAAGCATTCGTTTGGACTAACTAAAGACCCCTCCCTGATCGGGATGTGGCTTCTAGAAATGTCCAGCTTAACAAAGACACTACCTCTTATTTTGTGTGTGTGTGCATGTAGAAACTTGACACGACACCTCGTTTCGACAGTTTTAAATAGACACATATTACCTGAACGAACAAAAGAATCATAAGTGGAGAGAGCAGTCCTCTGCGTCTTGACTCGAACGGAATAATCATCCTTCATGCATGAGTCATGATGCATTACCAATGATATGCATCACGCATCATCATATAAAACCACGCTTGTGAATGCTGCGTGCATGATTGATTCGGTAAGGGTGATCAGTTAGCAAACCACTGACGTACGTACGCGTCATGCAGTGCGAGCAGCCGGCGGTTGCTCTCCTAGTCTTGTACTCCCCCGTTCCTAAATATTTGTCTTTTTAGATATTCAAATGGACTACCACATACGGATATATATAGACATATTTTAGAATGTATATTCACTCATTTTGCTTCGTATGTAGTCACTTGTTGAAAACTCTAGAAAGATAAATATTTAGGAACGGAGGAAGTACTATACTACTACTCTACTAGTTTTCTGTCCCTTGATCATAAAAGAAACAGAATGGCGAGCAAGAAAACAAATGAGAGATTCGGTTTCTGCTTAATGCTGCCGAAACGATAAACTTATATCCCGCGACCTGCTCAGGGGAGTTAATCGGGAGTATTTTGACCCGCATTTCAACAAACTGGTAGATATTCATCAAAGTTCAAATAAAAAATAGTACAAATCATCCAAACATAGCATGCAAATTAAGTCTAATACAATAATGTTTTAACTTTGTATCCGACAAGTTTTTCATGAACAGATCATGTCGTCTCACACATACTGCACCTTCAAGCTTCATCCAACAATGTGTGTATGTAAATGACCGTCCCTTTGTCCTGTGATACATCTCGGCAGTGCGTGCAGGCTACATATAATGTGCAGACAACATTGAGTGAATGAAGCAATCAACGAGTTGAGAAAGAGTAAGCAAAACTTACGATCTCGCCCTCTGCCGCGTGCAATGGCCACGTTGCTTCGAGCTGACGAATCACATCGCAAAACTTGGTCACGCTGATATGTATAGCGTGATAGCAATACGACAACGACCTCACGTTGCATGGTTGAATGATGTACATGTCGTAGAGCGCAATATGCTTTCGCGTGTGAAACTTTTCATGCACTTGCTCCCAGAAGGCCGGCCCTCTGCTCTTGTCTACGAAATCCGCGGATACGGCCAGCCACGCATCACACAACAACTCATCCTCCATGGCCGAGTAGCTCACCATCCTTCGTACTCGAAAAACCTTAATGGCATTTGACCAAACACCTATCGGGCATGGTGTCCGCCATAGAGGTCGTCGACAGTGGGCGGAGTGTACCTGGGTACAAACGGCTTCAGGGTGAACAACTCCATCGTAAAGACGAGCGACGCGTCGGTGCATGTTGCAGACGTCCGACAATGCCTCTGCGACGGTCGGAGATGTACAACGGTGGCGGCGGAGGTGGAGGGTGCGAATGCAAAGTAAGGGGAGAAAGGCAGAGTGGAAGGAAATGGGACCGGGAGGGGGATTGGGTAGGCTGCGGGTGTCAGAGTCCTACGTTTTCGAGTGTCCGTACTCCCACAAACCTCCCCCCACTTTTGTCTCCAATTTGCGGGAGTAAACGCGTCCGAACTGCCCCGCATACCGATACAGGCCCGCGTTAGATGACTTACGCGTTCCGAACAGCGTGGTCCGGACGAATGCGGGCGGTTTGCGGGTCCGCCTTGGAGATGCCCTAATAACCGCCGATTTAGCGGACGAGGGTGTATTTTTTTTTGCCCTGGATAGACCCCGCAAAATCGGTCGTCCTATAAAAAATGCTGGATTTTGCATAGTCCCGGCAGTTTTCGCTATATCCGCCCAAGCAGATGCCACCGGTGGACGTATGTCGCTCTCCGCAGCGCGTTCGGGCGCGGACAAGCACGGGCACCGGCGGCGCCCGGGCTGCCCACGACCTGTTCGACGAAATCACACAACAAGATTTCGGTATCTTCTTGTTGCTCGTGTCTGATCAACTTTGCATATGCCATGTCCAATATTTTGCATAGACCGCTAGCTCATATCGACATGATCAGTGCTTGGAAACCATGATCATTTAGGAGATTGTTATTATGTTGAACATGATCAATGATAATGAAGATTCGACCCAAATGCGGTGAGATCCAACTTGCCCTTCATTTGAAGTTGGGACAACATCATATCTCAATCCGAGCAAGAAGAAAAGAAAAGCCAAAGAAGGCAAAGGCAAGAGGTCTGACATTCTCAATTTTTGAGGATAATTTGTCCTTCATTTTGGCAATGACCGGGTTGTTGAATTATGAATATTTTTTTTACTTTGTCGTATTTGTTTTGAACTTTGAACTAGAATGATTTGTATTGTAAGATTGACGTGTATGAATTGCATGGATTCGAGGGTGTGCGTCTGCCAAAATGAGGGGCCGCCCGGAGCTGTTCACGAACACGCCCGAACACGCCCGCAGATGTATAGGGGCCAGATTTCATGCTCTTAGGCAGGCTATCAAACACATCCCTAGTTTTTGTTTTTGTTCATTTGATACGAAAGAAACAGAACGACCGGCCCGGCAAACACACGACGGATTGATGGATGCGGATGCTGCCCGCAGCATGTCGATCGAGCGAGTGCGAGCGCTGCT